AGAACCCAGGAGTCCTGGCTCCCAGCCCCCGCCTGCTTTAACCCACCAGACCCCACTCCCCTCCCAGAGCTGGGCACAGAACCCAGGAGTCCTGGCTCCCAGCCCCACAGTGAAGAGTTAACGAATTCTATGTCCCACAGCCCGAGCGTGGCGGGGTGGGGGTTGGTCCAGGGGGACTTTGCCCTCGGGCAGGGTGCAGTGACCCATGGAGACGCAGCGCCAGAAAGCGCCTGGCAGGGCTGTTCCCATTGCTGGGGCCCCTGCTGGGGATGCTGGTGCCCCCCCCCCGGGGCCCAGCAGGGTCACAGGGGAGGGAACTGGCCCCATGGTGCCACTGACTGGGAGCCCCCACCGCTCAGTTGCCCTGTCTAGGGCCAGCGCATCCACCCCTAGAGACAGTGAGGTCCCCCAGCACCCGGGGGTGCCATGCTGCAGGGCACTGGGCAGGGGGCACAGCAGGGGGTGCTGTGCTGCAGGTAGCCAGGTGCCAGGCTTTGCAGGGGGCTCCATGCTGTGGGGTTGGGGGCTCAGAAGGGGGAGCAGGGCAGGGGCTGAGGAGGGGGTTGTTTTGTTCCCATACTCGGCGTTAGCCCCAAAGCCCCAGCATGTCGCTGTGTTCCTGGCAGCACCATCCCATTTAGTTGACTGATTCCCAGCCCCCCTGCTCTAACCACAAACCCCTCCCCCCCCCAGCGCCGAGCTGGGATAGAACCCAGGAGTCCTGGGGGTGGGAGGGGGCTCTATGGGGACATGGGTGTGCGGCTGAATCTGGCCCATGCCCAGTGCAGGGCTGAAGGGCTCTGCCCCGAGCCCAGTGCTTGGTAGCCAGGGGGCCATCTGGGCTGGGGCTGCGGATGATGTGCTGGGACAGACAGGGAAGGGGCGCAGGATGGGTTTTTTGATCTCCTCACACCTGGCCTGGGAGGATCGGCTCCTACACTCCCCCCTCCCCCAGCAGCCCAGCCCAGGTGGGGGAAGGGAGCTGCCAGCCTACACCTGGGGAAGGAGAACCAGCGGTTCAGGGCGGGGGGTCCACCACAGGACAAGTGCTACTTTCTGAAATGTACAGATGGGGAAACTGAGGCACAGAGAGGGGCAATCGGAGCTGGGGATAGAACCCGGAGTCCTGGCTCCCCACCACCCACCCCACAATGTAAGGGGACAACACAAAGGCATTTATATCTTCAACTGCACTGAAATAATACAATGGCAACACACTTATTCAACAGTCCTAGTGTCACACAACCAGCCTGTGTGTGTGTAAGGTCACCCTGAGGGGTCACGGGGACACACTGGGGCTGTATGTTTGTGTACAGTCATCCTGGGGTCACACAACAGGATTCTCTCTGTGTGTGTAGTTGCCCTGGGGTCACACAATGGGGTTGTGTGTGTGTACATTTACCCGGGGAGCTTAGAGGGGTTGTATGTGTGTTGCCCTGGGAGGGGGTCACACAATGGGGCTGTGTGTGTGTGTGTGTGTGTGTGTGTGTGTGCGCGCGCGTATGCGTGCAGTCACCCTAGGGTCACACAATAGGGCTGTGTGTGTATGTAAAGTAGCCATAGGGTCACATAACTGGGCAGTGTGTGTGTACAGTCATCCTGGGGTCACACAACAGAACTCTGTGTGTGTACACTTGCCAGGGGGCACAGTGGGGCTGGATGTATGTGTACAGTCACCCTGGGGGGTCACACATTGGGGCTGTGTGTGTGTGTGTGTGTGTATGTTCAGTCACCCTAGGGTCACACCACAGGGATGTGTGTGTGTGTGTGTGTGTGTATACAGTCACCCTGGGGGGGTCACACAGTGGGGCTGTGTGTGTGTGTGTGTATGTACAGTCACCCTAGGGTCACACCACGTGTGTGTGTGTGTGTGTGTGTGTGTGTGTACAGTCACCCTAGGGTCACACAACTGGGCGTTGTGTGT